CAAACGTCTTCCATTTACGGATTATGGAGGCCACTGTGCTCTTGGGAATCTTAAGTGCAGCAGAAATTTTTTTGTAACCTTTGCCAGATCTGTGCCTTGCCACAATTCTGTCTCTGAGCTCTTCAGGCAGTTCCTTTGACCTCATGATTCTCATTTGCTCTGACATGCACTGTGAGCTGTAGGGTCTTATGTAGACAGGTGTGTGGCTTTCCTAATCACGTCCAATCAGTATAATCAAACACAGTTGGACTCAAATGAAGGTGTAGAACCATCTCAGGGATGATCAGATGAAATGGACAGAGCCTAAGTTAAATATATGAGTGTCACAGCAAAGGGTCTGAATACTTATGACCATGTGATATTTCAGTTTTTCTTTTTTAATAAATCTGCAAAAATGTCAAAAATTCTGTGTTTTTCTGTCAATATGGGGTGCTGTGTGTACATTAATGAGGAAAAAAATGAACTTAAATGATTTTAGCATATGGCTGCAATATAACAAAGAGTGAAAAATTTAAGGGGGTCTGAATACTTTCCGTACCCACTGTACAATAGTATGTACAAGTACTTTTACTTGATTAGATAATCTTGTTTCTTTCACCAGTAGCAGTAGAACTACTTCAGGTTCTCCTTTTGTCACATTTCAAGGTAATGCTACTTGCCAGGGTTTAGAGAGTGACCAAGAACCACAATGTCCCAGGTTTCAGCTGGTGAACCTTTGATGCATGTCACTCTCCTGACTCCTGTCATCTCAAATAAAGGCATGCAATGACTAAAATCCCTAGATAATGTAAGTTGTCTGCTGTTACCTGACATAGCTCATGATAAACTATTGGTAATTTGCAACCACAAACATCCACATTTGCAGTCACACTAATGCAAACATTTTTAGCTCCGAAGGCAGAACAATGTGAGACAGACACATGCAGTATTGTCCCCTGAATGTCAGGATGTTCTCTGGGATAGTGGGCAGCTTTGGACACAGGGGAAGCTGGGACCATTAGCTAGTTGTTCAGGACTCTACAGTAGATCTATTCTCTCGCAGCCCACCCATGTGCCATTACTCACCACTCATGTCTCTCATTCCTCCTCTGTCTCTCTCTGCTCCAGTGGTAATGTCACAGAGAGGAAACATGACAAAGTGAGACACAGACAATGGAAGAAGAGCATGAAGAGAGTATCTCTGAGTAGGAGGGCAAAGGACTGACACAGACACATACAGTAGCAGGGGACTGGCACACGCAGACACCACGCAAGTGAAAGACACAGACTTTACATTATGATACACTCACAGACGTGCACACACTGTACACACTCGACCTAATCACAAAGTTAAAAGTTCAAAAGAAAGATCCAGCCTTTTAACATGATGATTTAGTCACGTTCACTTTAGAAGAGAGTTCTGACAGGTGCCAGCAGCGATGTCTCCGTGATGCCTGGCTTCCTGCACCCAGTGCTCATTACTCAGAGCTTTGGAGGCTGTAAAGATTTCTTGACTTCTAAGATTTTCTTCGAGTCTAACTTAATCTCCTCTTGAGTATTACTGTATAACCTGCAGTGAAGGCAAACGACTGAAACGGGTTCCACATGATTTATATCACACTTACAGAGAACAAGGGGAAAAACGAATATGCTGGCATGTTTTCATTTTAGGATTTTAGGATGCAATACATTCTAAGACTTTTGGAAAACATCCATGGTTTAAACAGATGAATGCATGGTAACTGTTTCAATTCACACCGTGACTGTTCCCTCCGTCCTCTTTTTATTTGACCAAACATCTTATCTGACGCTCAAACAAACTTACCCGGAAAGGATTTTGCAGGATCTCAGCCTGGTGAGCCTGAGCGGAGGTCATTTGAGGAACCGCATGCAGAGAACTTGAATTCGCCATGTTTTCCTTATCATGCAACAAGAATATAATATTCTTCTAGACTACAACTCCCACTCTCTTCAGCATCGTTGTTCGCTGTTTTCACCTCACCCCGTTCCAATCATCCCACGTTCCTGTTGCTTCAGCCAAAGAACTTTTCCCTTCCGAGGGAGAACTTCTTCATTGTTGCGAAGCGGATGAGTTTTGTGATGACTTCATGTGCGTTCGGAAAAATTGACTTCTATTACCGACACGGCATTTTTAAATAGCCATTTATTTTGGAAGAGGATTAAAAACAAATTATTCAATTATCAGTGTCCTGCTATGATGAAAAAATGCTTAGTCAACACATAGACCATTTTGTTTTTATTCAACTGTTCTGATTTACGACATTACGAGAGCACTTTAAAGTAGCAAATGCGGCTTCTGTTGCGGATATAACGTAGACAAACAGGTGATAAATCGAAAAAAAACCCAAAAAACAAAACAAAAAACCGTGCCACAGCTTCAGTGCACCTTGACGTTGATTCTCCACGTTTCTGACTCCACTGAAGGTATGAACACCATTCTTCCAAAAGATATTCCCTCAATTGGTGGTTTGATGATGGTGGTGGAGATGTTGGTCCAAATAACCGTGAAGACCATAGGAAATGGTTCAGATCATTTTCATGCTCATCACACCATTTAATGGCCCCTCCTGCCTTATAGATGGGGACGCTGTTATCCTGGAAGACACCGCTCCCTTCAGGAAAGAAATGTTTCATCGCAGGATAAAGGTGATCACCTAGATCAACTGCGCACTGATTTGTAGTGACTCGTCCCTCTAAGGGGATAAGTCGACCCAAATGTCTGCATTCATTATGTTTCTCCAACCATTTATTTAGATATTTCCTTGATCGCCCATCTAGATGGCTCCAGCTGTGCTCAGGGTGCAGACATCAGCACATATGCGCAGCTGTAATGAACTAAACGTTCATTCTGGAGCAACACCATTCAGGTTATTGTTGTAAACACAAAGTAGAAAAAAAGAATAGAATACAAATCAGCTGGTTGAAATGCTAGAGTCATATAAGGATTGGACACTTCCTGCTTGTGAATTCTGTTTAGAGGTTTGGATGAAATAGCCAGGCAGAAGATTTATAGTGTCTAGGTTTAAATGAAAAGTGAATTTCAAACCTCCTTAGTCTGTGATAGAGTAGCATATTTTAAATGGGTAGGTGTGTGCAGATTGTGCTAACTCTGTAGAGAGTAAAGCCTACTCTTAAGATACTATCAGGGAATTAATTTAAATAAGTATATTTAATGATGGTGTAATAAGAACATTGCTTATTTATTGGTGCCACCTCAATAAAGCATCCCAGAACCTCCAGACTGGATAGCAGTGCTCCAGATGTTGTTAAACAAGCTGCCACTTGCTGGGCACGTTAATATTGGCAGAGACATCTGAGTGATTTCCCAGATGATTTCAAAGAGTCACATGATGCCCCATGTGTTACAGTGTGATGATATTCCCACCTACAGACCACATGTGTTTCATCTGCTAATTTATTCCACTCCACTCCTCATGATTGCTTTTGGAAACCTCATCAGCAGCTGAAAGGAAGATGAAAAACAGATCATCATAACCAGCAATGATAAACAAGGCCAGCCACATCAGAAGGACAGTGTCTGAGCTCCATTCACTGGTTAAAGGGATGATGTGAGATACATTGTTGTCTCGTCCTTTATGGGATCTCACTGATCCAGATGTGACTAGATGAATGACGAGCACTTGTTTGTTGTGATGTGCTCAACATTAAATAAAATTATTTTATGCAGACAGGACTGCTGCTTTCTTTCAAATATTGTCACACAAGTACATTAACATACACATATTGGTATGAGGGTTACACCTATTATTACCACATAAATGCATTTCATATTCCAATGAAAGTATCCCAAGGATCTATGTATTAAATTACTTTCAAACAGTCCTAAAACTTTAGAAATCCTAAACTGACTGTGAATACTGAGTGATACATCAACAGCCTAGGCTATAGATTCAAAGAAGGAAGGCACCGCACCACGAATGAGTAAAATGTGTTAACAATGTTCCTGGTTCTCTGCAGTAATAAAGTTTATTAATAGATACATTGTTTATTCAGTGTAATAAATTATTGCCAAATAGACAATTTAAAATATTTTCATATCAGTTAACAGCTGCCATTTTTCAGTCTAAATAGCCCACAGTCATGGACAGAAGACAGTGACAATGGTCCCCTGGACTACTGTGTAAAAGATGCCTCCTACCTGGCTCAAGACACTCAGACTGGTTGTTTTGCAGCTTCATGAGTTTCTCATGGGCTCATGGTTGTTTCGTGTCTCTTTGTGGTCATTTGATTGACTTTCCTATTCTGATACTAACAAGCCAATTACCAGTCACCTTCTCACTCTGACATGGAAGAGCACTACCAGTTAGATAACTGTGATGAACCACATCAGTTCAGATTAAAAATAAGGTGAAAAGAGAGGCCAGCAGTGTCTCTGTACTGGATGTCCATTCATCCCCAGATGGTAGTTGACAGTCAGTCAAACCAACCACAGTTGAGTTTTAACACTAACTAGTGAATGTGAAAGACACAGTGGCCCAGCTTAGAAAACTGGCTGTCAAACCCAGACGACGCAGAAGTACAGAAATAAATTGCAAGTAACAATGCAGTGCCATTTCCTTGTCTGGACAGATCTCAAGGTCTTACTGTTACTGTCATGGAGCTGCCTCTGTATTTATTTGTTGCTACTATTACACATTACTGCTTGGCATTAGAGTTATTTGGTTCTCAGCATGTGGAGCACGTAGACCTCAGTCAGATGGACACTGGCGTAATACTTTGTTAATGTGTTATCTGTATTATTACTGCACTGAGACTCCCAGCTGCAAGCTGGAAGTCAAAGAATCAGTGGCTCTATTTTCTGTCTGCATTCTTTCTGCTCCTTCTGTGTCTGTGCACTGTCCTGAGTCAGCCTGTGTCCTCTGCCTTAATAATCTAGACCCGTTTGATGTGATTACTGTGGTGTGAAGGGGAGAGGGGAGATGAATGAATGTACATTTTATTTGTCAGAATAGCACGACTAAACAGATTCCCTTTCTTACTTTTTCTATAAATGTCTCAGGAGATTTCTGATTCATCTTTCAGCGCTGGCAAGCATTCAGAGAACGCTTTGACTGGCAGCCTTTGTAACGGATAGAAGGCTGTGGCATTTCCCATAGAGCTTTCACAGAGTACCCCTGAGATGCCCCCGATGACACCCTGATGTTTTCAGTCAAGGATGAGGATATTGAACCTTGACCTGTAACGAAGAAAGAGACCTGAAGCAAGGAAACTTAGGAGAAAAGAGATGAGGGAGGAAAAAGAGTGGCTTTAAAATGTTAAGAGAGGCACATAAATACAGTGAGAAGTGGGGAATAAGGCTAAAGAAGGAGAGAAGAAGATAAAGGCAGGGGAGCAAAAGATAAGGAGCAGCAGATTTAGTCGACAAAAACTCCTACACGCTCTCACTTGAGCCTGCACCTCAGGCTTTGAAGGAGAAGGGAGAGATATCAGCATCATTCTCTTACTGTCTCCCTTCTTCTCTGACTCTTTCTTATTCTGTTCTCTCCATCCTCTTTATTTACCCCTTCCTCTGTCTTTCTCATATCACTCAATTATAAAAAGTCTAAAGAAAATATCATCTTGACTCTGGGGGAAAAAAAGACACTGATTGTCTCCTCTTGTGGGTACACTCATATGAGATTTCAAAAAGAAGGCTTAAAATTGGTAGAATTTTAAAAATCTTCAGTAGAGCTGAAGGCAGATTCTCAGCTCTCACCAAATCCATTGTATGATGTCTTTATCTGTTGTTCCTCTGGAAGTAACTTAATTGGATTACACAGGAAGCAGTGCTTTGTTTTCACCTCTTTATGACCCATATCATGCAATCATTTGAAAACACAACTGGTTGTTTATTTCAAGCTAAGGCTTGAAATTCAAAGCCGTACCTCGATTTAGTACTGATGCATACAGCTTGTGTCGTTTATCCGCTGTTCAGCTGTCAGGGCTGAGACACAACAATAAAGCCATCAATTGTTTTGTCATTAAATTTACATGGGATTCTGCAGAAGTGAACATCAAAAGAAATGAAATGTGAATAAGAGCCAGCCAAGAGGGTGCCAAATATAAATCATGGTGTGATAAAATGCTGGCAGTTTATTGAGGTATTTTTGCTTCTCACAACCAGCCACTGTAAAAGCCTATAATCTATGCTGACTTAAGTTGTTGATTGATTTTGATTTGATTTATTCTTTCAAGCATGTAAAGACAGTTGATATGTCAACACACATAATTTTACACATATCCAACAAATGCTAATCCAATATCAATTTGCTTATACCTAATACATGCTTGAATGGAGTAGGAAGAAGTCAGACTTATCCAGTCCTACCCCATGACATCATCTTACATCATTGGTTTGCAAGCAGTATCTCTACATAAATAATTCTCTTCTACACCACACAAGTAATATAC